ATGCAGAGCAAACATATTCCTTAGAACCCAGCAGGATCTGAACTGCACCATTAATTCTCTACCTAGCCCTTAACGGCATTTGGGTTGAGAATTCACCCCTTAAAAAAAAAAAAAAAAAAAAAAAAAGAAAATAAAATTTTAAAAATTAAGAAAAAGTAGAAAAATAGAAAATTTAGAAAAACTAGAAAATTTAGAAAAAGTTGAAAAACAAAAAGAAGAAAAAAAGGGGGAAAAAGAAAAAAAAAAACAACAAAAGCAAGCTTCCCAAATAGAAGTTTGATACAACACAGGTGGCTGCAGTTTATTCTTGCCAATGCTCTGTGTCCTTGAACTGTGGTTCTTTATCCAGTCCAGCTGACAGTTGTATCAAGCACACCATTACCCAAGGCTATCCCTTCCTCTACTGCCATTCTCTCTGGCAGCTATGGCCCATTCCAGAGAAGCATGGCCAGAGCTTTGGCTGCTGTGCATGAAAACAGGCAGAGACAAGGGAGTATCAAAACACTGCACATACTGTCATGCTCTCTGCTAATGAATCTGATGGTGGTATTTGCTTGTGGAGACAATGTTTGGTTTAGTCCTGAAGCATGTGTTATAGCAGCTCATCAGGAAATACAGCACACTTGCTCTGAATTTTTATCTGAACTCCCAAGAGTAGCCCCATGGAAAAGGACCAGGGGTCCTGGCTGATGGCAAGCTGAATCTGAGCCAGCAGTGCCCTGGCAGCCAGGAGGGCCAGCCCTGCCCTGGGGTGAATCAGGCACAGCATGGCCAGCCAGGCAAGGGAGGGGATTGTCCTGCTCTGCTCTGCACTGGGGCAGCCTCACCTCCAGTGCTGGGGGCAGTTTGGGTGGCACCGGCCGTTTATATACAGACACAAACGGAATGGAACCACACCTGAATGGGTGCCACAATATAAGAAGGATACAAAGCTATTAGAGAGTGTCCAAAGGAGGGCAATGAAGATGGTGAGGGCCTTGAGAAGAAGCTGTATGAGGAGTGGCTGAGGTCACTTGGTCACTGCTCAGCCTGGAGGAGACTGAGGGGAGACCTCACTCAGTTACAACTTTCTTGTGAGGAGGAGTGGTAGACACTGATCTCGTTTGTGGTGATCAGTGACAGGACCCAAGGAAATGGCATGAAGTTGTCAGGGGAGGTTCAGGTCAGATATTAGAAAGAGGTTCTTCATCCAGAGGGTGAATGAGACTGGATTAGGCTCCATGGGGAAATGATTACAGGACCAATCCTGCCAGAGTTCAAGAAGCATTTGGACAGGTACATGTGACTCTTGGGGCTATGCTGTGTGGGGCCAGGAGTAGGACTCAATGATCCTTGGGGGTCCCTTCCAACTCAGGACAACCTATAAATACAATAAACTCCACTGACCAGTCCCAGCTTACAGTGTGAACAGTGGTACTGTTCACAGTGTAAAAACTCAGTTTTAAAAACTCTGATTTTTACTTGCAGCTGCCACCAGATGTTTGAAATGTTTGTAAGGTTGAAGGCAGTCTTAGTACAAAGCATGTGCCTTCCCAGCGTGGGAAACAGACAAGAGAAGCCTTCTTTCTTGCCTATCTGCCTTTCTATTACTGCCTCCTCCACTGTTCAATGATTCCTCCCCCAGGTGCTGGATTCAGACAAGCCCTTAAACTGCAAGAAATTACACTACTGTGTGGGAGAAGCAGAAGTCCCAGTGGGTGTCACCCAGAGGGTACTGGATCCACAACCTTAGCTGTCTTCTTGACTCACCCAACAGCTCTATACAGATGCATAATGACACAAGAGAAAGGTCTGAGAACAGTGAAATTTTGCAGATGAAAATTTGTGGGTGAGACGGACTGCTATTCCCCTAACATTGGCCTTAGGTTGGTCGTTGGTCCTATTGTAGCTACTCACCTCAAAATGCTTTTTGTAGTAAATGATACCACACAGGCCCACCAACACAAGCAAACCACTTGTGCATATCCCTAAACCACAAAACCCAGGGATAATGAAGAGCTCCTATTTCCCTACCACTGCCTGGCTTGGGGCCTTGAAGTGGGACCTTCAGTTATGATAGATAGATAGATAGATAGATAGATAGATAGATAGATAGATAGTGAATCTGAAGAGCAGAGCCAGTCACAGGCTGAGGATGTCATCTGGTCATCTACCAACAAGTCTCTACAGAGCTCCCAGAAGCTCTCACCAATGGGAGAATTTTTATTCTATCTTCTTCTACCTTCTTGTCAGTGACACTGATGATTGTGCCCTTTTCCCTTGAAGTTTCATCTTAAGGTTTCCATAAATATCTTTCTTGATCATTCATTCCTTGTCAGGTGGGTGAACTGAGAGAATCCTCCTTCTTTTTATGTGGGAGCAGAGAAAGATTTTCCACTGCAGTTTCTCATTTGACATGAAGTGAAGGCAGCACCTCCAGCTCCTTCAGCTTCTTCTCAGTGGCTCAGTACAAGGGCTCTCAACTATTCCCACACTGCAGACCTCCTGCAGACACGCCTTGGCAGCCCCTCATGGTCTAGGCAGCATCAAATTCCCTTTCTAATCTTCCGTGTTCTCCTCTTGGCACCACAAGTCTTGCCCCACAGGCTACAGTGTGGTGCCATCTTTGTCACCTATTCAGTGCACAAAACTTGACAGGTTAGGCTTTTTCAGTAGGAACCAAGACCTAGCTTTTCAGCCTACACAGCCAAAAATACAAGATCACCTTTGTACCACTCTGCCAATAAGAGCCCCTCTGCTGACTTCCTAACATTGACAGAAGTTCTGATGTACTGACAGACTTCTAAAGAGCCAGGACAATTCTGGAGGAGACAGATAGCCCTTTGCACCCATTCCCTAATGGGAACTGGAAAGCCAGTAGCTTTTGCCAGTAAGTTACAATAAGTTACACCTTCCAGGTCTAGGAAGCCAAGAGCAACACAGTGTATGGGCTGGAATCTTTCCAGCTCCTAGCAGTTTCTCTGATCTAAAAACTACGCTGCAGCAATACCAGCCTGCCTCCAAAACAGACAGCTGCAAAACTTTTGCTCTTGCTTAGGTCCTGCACGGAGCAAATCCAACCTCAGCCCAGAATGCCCGTGTATGTCCAGGGCAGGGAGTCCCAAGGAGAAAGGGGTCCACCTAGTGCAGTCAGAGCAGTACTGCCAGAACCGCGGGCAGAGCACAGCACACATGCGAGCTGCACAGCAACACTGCAATGACACTGGTGGGCACCAAAGCCTTGTGCTCTGCACAGCCCCTTGCAGCGAGGGGCAGACCCTCTGCAAGGGGCAGCACCCCTCCGGGACACCACTTGCTCCATCTACTGCATGGGTACAGAGCAAGTGCAGGCAAGTGGAACCTGGCTAGCCTGACAGACATAGCACGTTTACATTCAGCAGGAACAGTAATCCAAGATGAAGTCTGCACGTTTACAGGGGCTGAAGGTTGACTTTAGTCCAGGGAAGAAAAGCCTTGGTATCTGCTGGCTTGCTACCTCTCCAGCACTACTGCTGCACTTTTATTTCCCATAAAAGATCTCAAAAGAGACTTGACCTAGGTCAGTCTGTGTGAAATGGATCAAGAATAGATCTTCCTGGTTCAGACAGCAACTCCTCTGGCCTACTTTTAGCTATCCCAGCTGAAAGAAATTGAGTTTATCTAACGTATTCTACCTAGACAAGCTTTAAGGTCTTACACTTTTCAAAGGCAATTCTGGCTAACATCACCTTCAAGATCTGGAAGCATAAAGGTAGGATTAAAACACCGTGAAGGGGTTTAGACAAATCTTTTAACCACATTCTTTTAGTTCCTTTTACAAAATGTGACAGCTCTTTCTGATACCAACATTACTAGGCAGAGGTTGTTTGCTACAGGAAATGGAAAGGGCTAAACTGAAAGAGCCACTGCTCCACATCCTATCCATGTGCATCCCCATGTGACAAAGTCAGAGCAGATCATATATGAGCTCCTGTAACATCTGCTGATGCAACTGCAACCAGCTGGCTATCAGCTCGGAGCACTAGAAATAAATAGACAAAACAGGGCTGAACATAGGCACTACTAAATAGTTTTTAAAGGCTTTTAGGAAGCTTAACAAAAAATGCCTGTGGCATGGTCTTGAAGAGCTCACAGATTGCCATAGGCAGTTCTCTTGAGACCAAAGTCATGCAGTGCTCCCACACTCACGTGAAAGATTAAAGTCTTAAACAATTTGGTTATGATCAGATAAAACACAAAAGAGGGAACAAAAATAGCTTCTCCTTCTCTCCTTTCATCCAGAAGCAGGTGAATCACTGACTTAAAAGACATCTAGTGGCAGATAAAAAACTGTAGAAAATTACTAATTGAAAGGATGTTATTCTGGAAACTTCTAGACTTCCCTTTCCATGGGAGTCTTAGAAAGGAGTGGAGCAATTCCAGTCTTTCATCAAACCATGCATGTTAGACCAAGTTATGGAAAAGCTTCCCAGACAACCGTAAGTCAAAAGGACTTGTGAAGCCTTAGTCAGTACTCCTGCTCTCCTCTCTCTATCACCTTAACCTCCCTTCCTGCTGGCAAGAGCAGGCAGCAACCACACTATGAAACCTGAGAGTCCATATGACCTAAAATTCCAAGTCAGGCTTAAATAGCACTGGAGCGTAGAGAGCTGTGTATTTTATTTATATATATATATATATATATATATATATACAAGGTTTTTCTTCTTTTTATATATAAAAGACACAAGCTACTAATTCTTCCTACCTCATTTTTTTGGTTTCACTTACTCTGAACAAGTAAAAACCATCATCCCAGGAACTTATAGCAAAGCCGCCATAGGTTCCTGGGACCAAGAGAATCCTGTTCAGCAAGAAAAAAGAAACTTATCTGGAAAAGCCACTGTAAGCTGGGCAGTGGAGAGTCAGCAGTACATGTGAGAAAGATGCCACGTCTCATTTGTTTGGAAGATAAGGAATAAGCAACACTAGCCTGAAAGAACCCAGATCCTACCCGCATGTAAATGCACAAGCACTACCAATCAACCTCACAGACTTTTTTTAGTAAGACCTTTCAATAAACACACACACACATATATATACAGCCTTCTCTTGCAGAGACAGTTAAGTAGTTCCACAATGAGGACAGGGCAGGCCAGTCAGCACCACCTGGCCAGTGGTTCACAAGGTGCTGAAGATGCTCCTGTGTGCATGCTCATGGTTACTTCATCGTTTCTGAAGGGAAGGCCAGGAAGTCTTGGAGACAGGCTCAGTGCAAACACATACACAGCTGCAGTACTGTGTTACAGCTGTGTCACAGGGTAAGGGAGATGAGAGGGAGCAGCAGGGAAAAGAACAAACATAAACCCTCAGGAGACTGCCAAAAGTGTCTGCAAACAGTGTCCATCCATGGTAAGTCGAGTCAGAATTTGACAGAGAAGGAAGTCCCACATGAGCAACCCTTCTCTGCCTGGGGGTTGCTCACCACCTGGAAGGAGCTTCGGATCAGCTCTTGGCTGAAATCCACCATGGATCCTTTCACAAAGGCCAGGCTGTCCGCATCCACAACCACACGGGCACCACCTTGTTCAAACACCCTGCAAAAAAAAAAAAAAAAGCAGCATATTTAACTACTAACTGTGCCAAAAACCTTACAGAGAAGCACAACCTTAGCATGCCAGCATGCTCACAGGCTTCTTCCCTTCAATGCAAGACACTATCACCTCACGCATACCCCTCCTGCCATTTTTGCCAAGAACAGTAACACCTGATCACCAAAACGTCCTTTGTCCTTGCCTGTCATCAGGATTGATAACTGTGTCCAAGGAAAACTTGTACTGGAAGCCAGAGCAGCCACCTCCTTCCACCTGCAGCCTGAGAAACTCTGATCCTTCTGCAATCTCCAGCAGCCTCTGCAAATAAATAAAAGGATTAAAAGGCCTGCTGAACAAACTAGCGAACACTCAAACGTCTCCTCGGAGTGACGGCAGGGCAGGCAGGGTGCAAACCCTCCCAGAGACACCAGACCCCTCGCAGGGTCCCCACCTTCACGCAGCTCTCGCTGAGGAAGATCTGTCCTTCGCTGGGGCCGCTCTCCGTCGGGCCCGGCTCGGAGAAGGACGACGCCCAGCGCAGCAGGGAGCCAGCCGGGCGGGCAGGGCCGGCCGGGGGCCTCGGCAGCGCTCGGCCTGGGCACGGTGAAGCGGAGCACCGGCTGCCTCGGGAGGAAGGGAGAGGGGGCGCCTCAGAGGGGTCCGCGCCGCCGGAGCGGGCGGCGGGCCCGGCCCCTGCGGCCACCACCCCCCGCCGCGCCGCGGGGACGTTCTGTGCCCCCGAGGGAGGGTCCAAGGGGCCGAGTGCCCAAGGGAACGGTACCTCGTCCGGCCGCCCAGCGCCAACATCCACCACCACCGCAGCGCCGCCGGCGCCGCCATGCCAGCCCAGCCCCGCCCCGCCGCCATGGCGGAAGTGCGGCCGCGCCCACAGCGGGGCGGCACCGGGGTCTGCCCCGGCCCCGGCCTCGGCCCCGGCCCCGGCCCCGGCCCCGGCCGCTGCCCCTTCGCGGACGGTGCTCGGCTGCGGGGCGCGCGTTACAGCCGCTCAAAGGCGCGAAGCTGCTGTTCGCTTTTCCCGGTGTTCGCAGGCATGAAGCAGTGCAGAGTAATAAAATAAACAGCGAGCGCTGTCAGTCCGCGCGTGCTTGCCCCGGATTAGCCGTAAGGTTAGCCTGAGCAGAACCCTGAGAAGGATCGAGGTGCCTCCGCAGGGGAGTTGGGCTGAAGAGCAAACACGGGGGTTTTAGGGATTCTCCCTGGTTCCGGCTTTTCTGCTTCGCTCTCCTTTATCAGGTGGGGGCCAGTCTTCCCCAGCCGGAGCGCTCGCCCGGCGCTGCCGGCTGTGCTCGGCCTCACCCCCGCACTGCCCTCGCCTCCCCCCCGGCCCCGGCCCCGGCCCCGGCCCCGGCCCCGGCGGGCTCGCCCGGCTCCAGGCAGGCCCTACGGCCAGCCGGGGCACGCTGCCCGCCCACGGCGCTTGGAGCTCCTCCTGATCGCTTGCCGTGTGATAGTGGCGTGGCCGGTCGATCACGGAGCGCTTGTGGTTAAGAGTCTTTATCTCTGTGTTCCTCATGTGCTTCTGGGGGAGGAATCCTGTTCCTCAGCCCTAGCCAGGCCTGTGGAGAGTCATACAGTGACTGGTGGAAGAAAACCTGTCATCCCAGCAGGATGGGGTGATTTACCGTCAGAGGACTTCAGGACCTTGTCACAGTTTGCTTTCTCACCATCTTGCTCCAAGCAAAGTGATTCTTCTGTAACCACGGGCTTCTGCTTTTTGTTCCATCCTGAGCATGTAAATAAAGACTGCTTTGAGCTGTTTAATTTTGCCTACTCTTGGGTTAGCTCTAATGATGCTAGGATAACGCCAGGAAAGTACCACAGGCAGGGTCCCAGCAGGAGTGGTACTAATGCAGGCACCTGTAATTGTTCATGAATCCTCATCAGGCATATTGGGACACTGAATGTTTAAATAAAAACATATTGGCATGTTTCTCGATTATTATCAATGTGGCATCCCAAAAGCTGACAACTTCGGAGGAGGGAATAAAAAGAAAACCAGAGAAAAGACATGGAGGGATCATGCCTGATTTCTTTCCATATTGCATTAGCTTTCCTTCTCACTCCTGTAGGGTGTATTAGATTGATCTTGCTGCATTTCTCCATGTTGTGGCTGTATTCACTGTGAACACGTTTTGGAGAATGGATGTAGCCCCAAAAAACACACTCACTTTGGAGTTGCCTTCATTTTTACTGTGTTAAAGTGACAGAAAGGTGTTAAGTGACAGAAGTTTGGCAAGCAGCTTCAAGGGTCTTTGGGACATTGTGAAGTGATTACTGCAGACTGAAAGAATGAGGAAAAGGCCAACTAGCGTCACTCACAGTTAATATAATTAATAATCTGCTGTGCTGGGGGGAGACTCATGTTCTGGAGACAACTTTTTGCTGGGGAGGTGGGAGTAACTAAGGAGAACAGCTATTCCCTTGCATCTCTTTATCACTGGCCATTTTTTCCTTCAGTCAGCTATGTGGTGCAGGGATGGTTGGTTGCTTTTCTTCACGGAGATACAGTCTAGTTTTTCTTCCTTCTTGGGTTCTGATTTTGTTGGTCATCTTGTTTCTGATAGGTAGACATAATCTGTTTTTAAGTTTGTGCTTTGATTTTCTGTTCTTATTCTGGTTTGTGGTGTCTTGGTTTGGGGAGTTCCTTTAGCTCTCTTTATGCACAGTGTACTGAAGAGATTTGTCTGAGAGTTGAATTTTCTAGATATTTTGCTCATTTCTCCTCTGCAATATGATGCTAAAATAATCTTGTATCTATTTTGAAGGGAAACAAAACTTGTTTCAGTGCTTCAGAAACTGGTGATAATAAAACCTCTGGCGTGGTGTTGAATGCAAGAGTGGATGTGATGAATTTAAATGTAAATTCTGACGATCTGTAGCAAAAGGAGCATGTTCTGGCTGAAAGAACAGTTAAATTGATTAGTCTCTGTATGTGGATTTTCTTGAGAACCTGCCTGCTGTATTCACTGACACTGTATTGCCTGCAAGCACATCTGTTTACTGAGCTGCAAGTGCTGTGCTGTTGGAGGGATTTGGATTAATCAGGTGTAGATAGCTGATGAAGTGGAACTTCAGGCTTTTTCCTCATGTAATAGAGTCGGTTGAACTACAAAAATTAACAAGTCCAATATCAGTCTTGCTGGAGAGAATTTGTCTGCTAGCTTTCTTAGCCTTTTCCACTGGTGTTTCTGCACTGCAGCATAAGCTCTCTGTGATGTTGGTAATCCAAAAGGACCTCCATCCACAAAATAATGAGATCAGCCTGAGGTTGATTTGAATATTTCTTTAGCAATTTTTGGCTCCAAGGGAACCTGCAGGCTTATGTTATCAGATGTCACAGGGGGCATGTGCCTAAAAGCAAGGTCTGTTTGGCCCAAGATGCTTGTGCTGCCCTGGGGAATTTAAGCTTTAGTAATGTTATTGCAAAACTGACGCCATAGTAATGTATGATATCAGCTAAAAACCTTGGTCAGAAGGTTTCTGCTTCTTTCTTCTGTAAAGGCCTTGGCTGTAGATTTACAGACTTACACTTATTAGGCTTTTTACTACTCCAGTTTGGGGTGTGGGGAGGGGAAATGTTAATTTTGATCCTAGATGCAATGATTTTGAGTTCAAAGCCTTTAAAATATGTGTTGACTTGTATGTACATAGTCACTGGCATTGTGTAAAAGCATCTGTAAAGCAAAGATACGTGGCGAGTTGTTTCACAGGGAGGCATCCTAATTAAATGGACTGTGGAATTTGCTCCCAAGCAAATTCCAAGCACTGCTTGTCCTGTGAATGTGTGACAGCACTTTATGGTGTTGCTCTGACTTGACTGCAGTTCTGTTACCAGCAGTCAGATAGGCAGCTGTGCTTATCTGCTGTAAGACCTGAAGGATAGGGATAAGAGAAGCCTTTTGAAGGGCATGCTTTCCATGCACAAGGAAAAGCCTTTATCTGGGTCAGTTATAAAGTATGCTAGGTAGTGTTAAATACATGGCTTAGCCTCAGCAGGGGTTTTTTGAGGGTGGTTTGGGTTTTTTTGTTTGTTTGTTTTTGTGGTGTTTTGTTGTTGTGGTTTGGGTTTTTTTAATAGGGCTTTGGTAAGTATCCTGCTATGCATGTATCTGGAAATTGAATGCTTATTTGAAATCTAAAAAAAAAAAAAACCTATTAAAAAGCCCCACACTCCTTTCTGATGCGACACCCTTTGCAGAGGGTGTGAGCAAAGCGTGGGGTGCCCCTCTGAGTCACTTGGCCGTGCAGCTGCAGCTGAGCAGGCAGGCACCTCACTGGACAGAGGTCTGGAGCGGGGACGCTGTGTCAGCTCTGCCACGTTCCTACCAAATCAGCACTCACGTGCCTCTCTACTGTGTTCTAACATGACCCCAGAAAGGCTTCAATTTGCTACCATATGAAATTGGTGGAAAGTTGTAAACTTCAGCTTGGGTCAAACGCTTTCTCAAGTGTCATCTGGCTTGCCTTGGCATCCACAGCACAAAGCAGGGAGTCTCTGCAATTCATGAGTCTGAGAAACAGAACTGACATGTGTGTGCTCTGTGAAAGGTGGCAGACACGCCAGGTACTCAGCAGATGTAACTCTTGGCACTCATGTTACGCAAACAGCTTTCAACATGCAGAACAGGAGGTATGGGATATGGGATATGTACGAGCAAGGCACGGACGAGTCTACTACAGCAGCTGCGTGGGCGTTATGTGTTATCCCCTTTCAGCAGGGGCAGCAAAAGAGCTCCCGCTCCATGGCACTGCCTGAGTCTGAGCCTGTCCTCCGCTGCTGCCTTTGACACGGACTGTCCCCACAGCCCGGGAATGGGGATGTCCAGTGGCAGCGCTTTTGGAGACGGTGTCGGTCTGTCTGTCCAAGGGCTGTACTTCCAGCACACCACCACCACCACTCCGGGGCTGTGCTGTCCTCCCCTGTCACGCCGGCGCTCCCACCGCCGGGCAGCCTTGCCCTTGGTCACAGGGCGGGCTGTCCGTGCCCCGGGCCCCCCGGCTCCGGCCCGGCCCCGCGGGCGGGGCCCGCCCCAGCTGGCCGCTCCCGCCGCCATGGTGCCGTCCCCGCTCGCCCTGCTCCTGGCGCTCGGCGCCGCCGCCACCGCCCTGGCCGAGCCCCTCCGCTTCGTTGACTGCGGTGAGTGGCTCCGGCCCGCGGGGCAGCGGGAGGAGAGCAGCCGGCGGAGACGGCCCGGTAATCCCGACTCTTCCTTGCAGGTTCCGTAGACGGCAGCATCCAGGAGGTGAACGTGAGCCCCTGCCCCACTCAGCCCTGCCTGCTCCACAAGGGGACATCCTACAGCATCAACGTCACCTTCGCCAGCAGTAAGGAGCGCATCCCCAGCGGGAGTGGGCAGGGGCAGGTGATCCCCTCTGTGGCCCGCTCCTGGGAGGGGAGAAGTGCGGCTGGAGAAGGATCTGGGGGGAGGAAGAGTGTCCCTTAGTTGTGTTCTTGCAGCCTCTGGGGTATGTGAAGGGCACGTGTGGTATACGTGTGTTCTCTGTTTTGCAGAGATCGAGAGCCAGGGCAGTAAAGCAAAGGTGTACGGGGAGATGCTGCACGTGGACATACCCTTCCCTATTCCTGAGCCTGATGGATGCAAGTCTGGGATCCAGTGCCCCATTCAGAAGGGCCATTCCTACAGCTACCTGAACAAACTGCCTGTGAAGAGCGAGTACCCCAGCGTGAGTATGCAGGCAGCTGGTCAGCTTCTCAGCTACTGCCTGTACTGGAGTAGTCTCACCGCCTGCCTTTAAGGGAAGATGCCTTGTTCTGTTCTGGTGAGACAGAGTAGACTCCACAGACAGTCTGGTGTTCTTTTTGGTATACGACTCTAGTTTCAAGTTCCCACTTTGGGACAGGCCCAGGCAAAGGAAGCAGCCTAGCTCCAGCTGCTGAGAAGCAGCTTCAGCTGCTCCAGTATCTTCCTGTGCCGTGCTTCCCACCAGAGCCTGCTGCATGCAGCTGAATGCTCCCAGACTGGGTGTGCTTGACTCTGGAGTGTAGCTCAGCTAGAGATGCTGCAGGGTGTTTCCACTCTACTTTTGCAGGGAGTGGGAATGCAAGTGCAGTGTGTGGAGGTCTCCTGTGTCACGTAACCATCCACAGATGGTGCTCCAGAAGGCTGTGCATGAGCATGGCCCACCTACTGCAACACAAGGGCAAGGCCCCAGCTCTGTCCTCTTTGTGCAGAGCTCCCAGGACCTCCTTGTTCCACACAAGTGATAACTTTTCTCCTCATGCTCTTGCCTTAAGATTTCCTGATTATTCTTATTTCCCTCTACTTCTCTCTCTTTCAGATTAAACTGATTGTGAAGTGGGAGCTGGTAGACGACCAGGACCAGATGTTGTTCTGCTGGAAGATACCAGTGCAGATTACCAGCTGAGGAGTCTGGCATTAGTAGGGCTTGGGGAGGGGAAAACCAGAAACAACACAGGCCAAATTCTTTTATATAATAAATATTTCTTACTGCTTCCTTCAGAGGTCTGCAGCCTCTGAGCAGCCAGCACTGTGTTCCTTGCAAGATCAGCCCCTGGCAGTGCTCTTCCTGTGTTTAGGTGACACCCTTGGGGTGCTCTCCTAGCTGTCTACTGCAGGAGTGACTGAGCATCATCCTCCAGCTGCTCTGTGGAGGCACTTTATCTGTTAGACATGGAACTGTCTGTCCTCACAAAGGAATTTCTCAGTGATGAACCTGGCTGTTGGCTGAGCTGCTACCTGATAACCCTTCAGTGCCTCTTTTAGAATGCCAGCTGCATCCACCCTCCCGTGTTTCTCCTGCTCTGTTGTGATTGGGATGCTCCTGGGACCTGCATTTGCTCTCCATGCAGCTGAAGTAGAGGGAAGGAGAGGAGTCTGTCTTTCCCTGAGCTGACAGCTTGCTATGTCCTGGGCTTCTGCTCAAACCAGCAGGACTCCAGCTGGGAAAACTTCCTTTTTGTGGATGCAAAGCCAAATGGTGTTCAATGTCTCTGCAGGGATGATTCTTTCTCTAACCAATGGTTTGCACTACTACTAACTTGGAGCTGCTGTGAGCTCCTGAATCTCTTTTTATAACTTTCCTTTTAATAAAGGCTAGACAAAATATGCTTGTGTTGTATTCTGTGAGTGAAGAGGATCAGGAGGAAAGCAAAGTAGCCTAGGCACCCAGAGTGGCTGGGATTCAGCTGGTCTTACTTCTTAGCTGAAGGCATGAATAGAGGTGGTATGCTGGCCTAAGTGTGGGTGACCTGGAAGCAGCCAAACCTCTCTGTTGCTGGTATCCAGCTGGCAATGTCTGGCTGTGCTCCTGCCTTGCTAGTCCTATGCAGGCTTGAAATTGTGCAAAGACTCCCTGAAGAGGTGGTAGCATAGAACACAGCCTTGCTTGCTGCAGCATAGGTGAAGGTCTTCATACTGAGGGGTCTGGGGCTGGAAAAACAGCTCCCAGAGCTGCCAGAGAGCCCTTACCAACTGCAATAACCTGTACTTTCTCACATGGGAACTGCAGCTTCCTTGTGTGAGAACAAGGCAGAGTGTGAACAGCTACAACTTCAGTGCTGTCTGCAGGGACTGGAGTTGGCTCCTGCCACTGGTGCTGGGCTGGGGATTTGGCCTGGCAAAGCTCTCTACTCTGGTTTGGGAGCAGGAGGAGGCCTGTGCCAGCTGAGAGGGCTAAGAATTGGCTTACAAGTGGGATGGCTCTGCCCTTGGCAGAGGCAAGACAAGCACAGTTCTGACAAGCCCCAGTGTCTTGAGCCACAGGGGCCCAAAATAAATGTTTTATTTAACAACATGAGAGAAGTTTCCAGCAGACTCAGTTAAAAAAATAACCACCAACAACTTTACAGAAAGGAAGCTGGACCTGCTCCCCCTCCCCCTGCCCAGCCAGCATAGGGAACAAAATATAGGGCTAAAGGCCACAGGGAGCGCTGGCCCTGGGGCCCCTCAGGCCTCTTTCCCATGCCCCAAGGTTAGGCAGCAGCTCTAGAAAGCTGGGGTGGAACCCCCATCTTAAGCTCCAGCCTGGGGGCTGGATGCTTCACAAGAAGTGGGGCCAGCACCCACAGTGTGGGTAAGGCTTGTCACTAGGTCAGTGCAGCAGTGGCAGGGAGATGAACCCCCTTTCTTGGCAGGGTGAGGGGGACAGGCAGGGGCTGTGTGGCAAGGGAAGGTGTCCCGTGAGCCTCCACGACACAGGGCAACGTGACAGGTGCTGAGAGCTGGGGTGGGCTCTGCTGCAGGAAGAGCAGGCGCTGGCAGGGCCAGGAGGGGTGCAGAGGCTGGGAGCTCAGCCCTGACCTATAGAGAGAGGTGGTGGGGAAGCTGTGCACTTCGAAGGCGAAGGAACAAAGAGCCTCGAAGCACCCACAGCCGTGGGAGGCCTTTCTCTGTGCTCCCAGGTCCCAGAGCCACGCGCAGGGGAGCACCCTCACCCCTGCTCTCCTAGAGCTACGCGGCTGCTGGGTTCTGGGCTGTCTGGGGCACGCAGTGGTGTGACCGGGCCAGGGCCACATAGCCTGGCAAGCACTGGCAGCGGTAGGAGCCCTCTGTGTTCTCGCAGGTGCCACCGCGGCACAGGGGCTCAGGGTTGCCCACTTCCTCACATTCGTTGATATCTGCAAGGAGAAGGATTGGGTTGAGCTGGTGGCACAGTGAGTAGTCCCAGCCCACACCCATAGGCATCCCCTTGTGTTCCTGCCATCCCCCTGGCCCTCCCACACAGGCTCTGCCTGCCCTGTCTCCCAATCAGTACCTTCAGGATGTCCCCAGTAACCCCACCAGCCTCCCATGCCCTCAGATATCTGCAGAGCATGTGTAGTATCTGAGGGTGTTATCCCCACTGTCCTTCAGCACAGTACTGACCCCTGCCCCATGTACACCAGACCAGAGTCCCTCCAAACTCTGGAGTTGGTGACACCCCTGGTTAGCAGCTTTTGGCTAACAAGGCTTATAATAGCCTAAGATCTGGGGAAAAGGCCACTTCTAGCCTTGGAAAATGCCCTTTTCTGATCCAGCAAGGTCAACCAGGCAAATGATGGTGTCCCTGAGAGGCCGGTTATCATCTCCAGGACCAAAACACAGAGGGACTTCATGCTGCACAAACAACGGCTTATTTTATTAACCTGCAAACTGTGTCAAAGGGCACAGTTGGCCAGTTTGTTAGGCTGGAGTGTGCATGTGAGCCCTACAGCAGCTGCCCTACTATGACAGGTCTGCTCTGCTACATGTACTCACCCAGAGTACATGCCTGAGTTACACCAACTTGTGGTGGGGCCATGAGCAGGACAGAACACCCATGTACAACCCCAGAACCGTTGTTTGTACCCTCAGCTGCAAACAGAGCCTAAATCCTCACCTACCAAGGCAGGCCCAACCCCTCTCATCACAAACTCCAGACTCAACCCCCACTGATCAGCAGGGAGTGGGGAGCAGCTGATGGGTTCAGCTAGCCACCCAATGGACCCCGGGAGGACCAAAGTGCTCTGCCACCCCAGGGACCTTGGATTATCTCTGGCATAGGTGGAGGGGGCTATCTGACTAAGAAAGAGTAGTGCAACCTCAGGGAGGGATGCTGCAAGCAAAATTTTAAGGGAGGTAAGAGAAAGCACAGCAGTCACAGGAGGAAGATGGAGGGGAAACATGAGAAGAGAGAGCTTGAGGAACAAGGCAGTCTTCACACACAGCCAAACCAATTATTGAACTGACACTGTGGACTTGCACTAAACCTCAGGATCAGACACTGCCATGAACAGGATGGCTTGCTGAGAAGCCCAAGGAGAAGTCAGGCACATCAAGGGAGGGAGATGTGCTTTGCAGCCTCAGAAGCAAGGGAAAGTAAAAGCTGAAAGAGCAGACAGGCTGGTCTGGCCACCAAATCGAGAGGAGAAATGAAACAAGGACACTTTAGCCTAGAGAGACCGATAACCAGCAGCAACAGCATAGTGTTGCTAGCAGTCTGCACCAAGTCCTGGAGTTTGCCCACTTGGGTAGGGGTGGGGACACACAGCCCACCTGTTGCCATAGGGAAGTGAGAGGGGAAGTGCTGCAGCAGCTGCAGGAATATTCTAAAGGCCTGAAGTCAGCAAGGTAAAAACATGGTTATGACTAAGAACCAAGCAGGAGAACTGAAAAGAAAAAAACAGGCTCCAGTGTGAAATGAGGGATAGTTAGTTCAGGACAGAAAAGGCAACAAGCAAAGGCTCCATAAATATGTTAGTAGGAAACAATGGGGAATGTCAGTCTATTTCTTATCAACAGAGAAAACAAAAGCCAGTCCAGCTGGCTGGAGCAGCTAACATGGGTTTTGTTCCAGCCATCATAAAAACACTTGTGCTGATCAGACAGGGCACAGACCATGTTTGAAGTGTTTAAACAAGAGTGCAGGAGCACAGGGAGGGAAAGGTCATACTGTGATGGAGAGGTTCAACAATCAGATATAAAGAAGTTACATCCATAAAGGTTTGTGCAATGCAAATTCATGTGCTTAATGCTGCCTACAGTCCCTGAAAAGCTGACAGTTCTCTCTGAGATGGGAGCATAAAGAAAAGCAACAAAGGATAAATCTCATAACCATCTTCAAAAACAGAGAAGAGAAAATCCAGAATTACAGTCTGCTTACCCCTAAGCAGTTCAGGTTTGTCAGTGGTTAGGTCATAACCCTCTAAAGAATAACAAGATCATTAAATAGCTGGTGCAGATCAGTTAAGGCCTGATTACGTTAAGCCAATCTGGTTCTCTTCCCTGACCTGATAACTGGCCTGTCAGATAAGGGAGAAGTGGTGGATATGATGTGCCTTGGCCATGGTGAGGATTTCAACACACTCTCACATGACACACTCAAACAGATTGAGAAAATACTCTCTAGATTAAACTGTGGCAATTGCACAATGGACCACACAGCTGCACTCCAAAGACAATCAGCAATACCTGGCTGTTACTGACAAAAACCTTTAAAACACAGGCTGCAGTAGTCTGTCCTTACTCCTACTCTATGCAAATGTTGTCATTAAGGTAGACAAAGGAACACCGGACTGCAAGCACTTGGCAGGGTTCAGACTTACTCTGATACAGTAGCAGTCCAAATTCAACCAGACAAAATTTATTTAAGGCAAATGCAAAGCATTTTGGCCAATGAAAGGAAAACAGTGCACAAATGCAGAAGAGGGAGTAACATCCCAGGCTGTCATTTTTGCAGCTGTGCAAAATTCCATGGTATAGACCATGAAGAAGCTGCACCATTGTTTTGTACACTAAGGATGCCCTGAATTGGAGTAAGTGCCTAAGGAAAAAGAGAGTACCTTCATCTGCTCTGATGAGTGCTTGAGGTCTTAGCTGGCTTGGAGACAGATAATGTGAAAGGATGGAGACATGGCATAGGGATTTAGAAGAAATGCAGAGAGAATATTTAGAAACCATGTCTCATAGGGCAGGGTGGAAAGTGAGGAATTTCACCAGGGCAGTGGAAAATGTAGAGGGCATTAATCACAGTAACAATGTCTTGTGATGTACAAGAATAGTATGAGAAGACAGGAGACATCAGCTGCTCTCGGTGATGCCCCGAGCTGCTCTTACCTAGCTGCCAGCAGAAAGCGGCCGGCGGAACTCCCACGAGCGCCCTCCCAGCCGAATGGGAAGGGATGGGAGGAGCGGGCGTGCTCCTGCTGCCGTCCCGGCCGGCACCGGCAGGGAGCAGCCGCGGCCAGGGCACGCGGGGCCTCACTCACCCACGCAGGCCATGCGGGCCATGTCCAGCTGGAAGCCGTCGAAGCAGTCGCAGGTGTATCCCTCCGGGACGCGCACGCAGCGCCCGTTCTCGCAGCCGTTCAGGATCCCGCACTCCTCCGCCTGCAGCCCCTCGAAGCCCTCGTAGAGACCTGCAGGGCGGCAAGGTGGGGTCAGAGCAGGGTGAGCCTCAGCCCAGTCACAAAGGGAATATCGGGCACGCAGTAGGACGGTGACTGACCAGGACTGACTCAGGACTGACTCAGAACAGCCAGGAACAGAGCTCGCTCCAAGCCTGGAGCAGCCCGGGCACGGTGAGACTACGAGGCAGTCCCCATGGACACAGTCTGGGTGGGGAGGCACTTCTCTGGGTCTCCAGTACT